ACATATACATATACGTACATACATACATACATGTATACCTACACACATGTGTTTATACATATACATATAAATATACCTATACGTACATATACATATGTATGATATATTTAATAAATTACATTTTCTAATTATTCCGTAGATAGATATTATGATTGTATTTGTATCCGCTTTTGTTAACTGCTTTCAACGAGATATAAAATTAATTGAATCTCGTGAAATAAAATTGCTGTTAACTGGAAATCAATTTTAATTAATTCACTTCATTTAATCTTTATTAAGAACTGCCCTTAATTCTCTATTCATCTAGCGTCAACTATATGCAACATACTTTTGCCTGTAAATGTTATATGAAATTGAAATCGAGATATGGAAATATTGATAAGTATTTATGATGTAAGCAAAGAACACTTAGTCCTTCATATGCACACTGCATTGTACAAAATCCTATGGTTTTCTTTTCAATTAAAAGCATTCCATGAAAACAACGTCAATGTAAATGAAAATGGATAACGTCTTCTATCCATAACGATCCGTTTGCGGCTCTCTTTAACTTCATCATCACTAATGAATTTTTCGTGACGTCAGGCGATACTCACGACAGCCATTTGGGAAATTTTCTGTTTATCCTATAAACCAATGGTCTTTTTTTCGATGATTAAGTCGAGCCATGCCTTAATGTACACTAACGGTGTTAAATTTTTTTTTTCTTTACTCGCCTTCAAGTTGACTTAGATAACTTACTTATCTGGTGGTCATACAAAAAAAGGAAGAAATTTTTGTTCTCAAGGAGGACATGGATTTTGGTGGAAACGGGGGAGGGGGGGGGGGGGGGGGTTAAGTCGTCCAAGGACAACATTTTAACTTTAACTTTGACGTAGTTAGCTCAGCTCAGTCAAAGAATCTGACGATTCTTACAAAAAAAGCTATACGTGAGCATAGCGAGACCAATACTCGAGTTTGTTTCTGCTTCGAGTTGGTCTTCTTTCTATAGATTCACAATTAAATTGAATAGAATTTTTTCAGAAGCAAATGCCTGCTATTTGATTGTAGGAATTCAGATTGCGATCGGTTTCTCTCTTTGCCTACTTATGAAAATGGTTTGCTTTTGTTAGCCTTATCGTCACTTGAGAGACTTTCTCTTTTCTTCTTAATTAACTGATTAAAATGAAAACAGGAATAATTAAATGATGATTTACTTGGTGAGATAAGCTTCAATGCCCCGGTCCGTTTCTATGGCAACTTTATTTACCATAAAGCTTAGTTAATATAATCACAAACTTTTCAATCCGTTCAAGTTCCTTTGGGCGAAAACTAAAAATCTTATATATTGCCTATTACTTAATTTTAACATCGGTTTTTTTAAATTTGACCGAATCGATTCTCCTAAGTATATGCGCCATTTGCGTACGGCTATGCGGAAATTGAACGAAATTTTCTCACTATTATCCAACGCAAGCCTTTCGACTTAATCTGATTGAACGCAGCATATCGTAGCTATGTTTATTATATCAAATTATTCTACATAAACTTTTTGATCTATCAGTTTAAAGAAAATATTTTTTGTAATTGGATTAAGAAATTTTTTTCGAAAAAAGAAACGAAAAAAAAAAAAAAAATCAAAAATATTGAATTGGAAATATAGGGATAATTTAGAAAAATGGATATTGTCGAAACTCAAGATCAAGCTGTGGCAACAGAAGTATCTTCAGATCCCCCGAATAGGGAAGAGAAAAGTAGGGAACGACTTAAAAAGGTCATGTCTAATCATAGCGTGCAAAAGATCGAAAAAAAGAAATTGGAAACAAAGAAACTCCGCAAGAAATTGGCGGAGATAGAAGAACAAAATGAAACCCTAGCAAATACGATTTCAGAAAAGAATCTAGAAATATCTGAGCTGAGGAATTCGGTAAATTCTCTAAATGACGTATTGAACTCCATACCGATTGAAGAGTTACGATGTAATTCATCTATCGCTAGCACAAAATTATTGGAATTAAGTAAGAAAAATCGTCAGCTTAGGGGTGAATTGGAAAATACGAAAACCCGTTTAACGAAAAAAGATATACAAATTCAGATATTGGAAAGAGACATGAAAACAAATCAGGACAAATTTCATCAGGATACGGAAGTGCTTAAGAAAGGGGTAAGCGTAATAGCATTTAGATTAGGATAGTAATTTAAAATCGATTTTTTCAATTATATATATCAGAACTTCACACCTCTCGAGGAGTTACAATCTAAGTGCAACGCTTTACAGCAAAAGTTATTTGAAACTCGGAATCGCAATACCGAACTGCACAACCAATTAAAATTGGCTCAAAAATGTTTGCAACAAGAAATTGGCGAACATGTTAATATAAATATATTAGCTAATCATTCGAATGGCTCGAATTGGCGAGGACGAGCTCAACAGATTTTGCATTTGCAACAAAAAGTGCAAGAGTTGAGGGAACGTTTGGAGGTAAGCGAAAGTCCTCTCAATCCAAATAGAACATTATCAAGCCCTTCGGTGCCGGAAATTCAAGACAGTAATTGTTCGGTATCTGAACGCGCCGAATCGGCTGCAACGCCAACATCTACGCCTCCTACGGCTCCTTCAGTTATGTCCAATTTAAATTTAGGCTTCTACGAGCGCCCTACTGTACGTAGGACAGAGTTACAGCATCGAGTCAAAGTTGAAGGCCTGGAAAAGGAAATTGCCAATTTGAAGTCACAACTAGACGAGCAACGTGGTAAAATTTTAGCTTTAAAGGTCCGCAATAAAACACTTAACGATGAAATTTTGCGCTACAAAATGAAAACCAACTCTTTAGAGGAACAGACCGATTTCAATACGATTAATGTCGCCACCATGAATGATAAATTAAATCAACAGAAATTTCATTATGAGAAACGTATCGATGAGTTGCATCGTGAAGTTTCTATTGCAGTGAAACAGCGAGAAGAGGCAGAACTTAAAGAGAAACACATGCAGCACAACTATGAAGAGATTAAGCTGCTGATGAATGGCAAAGATAAACATGTCGAAGAGTTGAAGGAGGTGGTAAACAAATTGGAAACCGATTTGAAAGCTATTTCCGGAGGATATTTATTCTCTTGCCGCGAATTGCGAAAGGTAAACATTGCTTTTTAATCTTTTCGTTCATACGTAGTGTGTCTTTGAAGTAAGTGCCTTTGCTTTCCTCCGTAAGTGTTCAGTTTAGTGGTTATTGATTAAGTAAAAATACGTTGTACTGGATAGCGTGGAAGCGCTAATGAAAAATCCACAAAATCTACGCACAGTTTTGATTTTACGTAACCAAGATGTTTCTATGTACCCTACACCACTTGCGTTACACCCACCTAATATCTATTCACATATTTTTGTGTCCAAGTTGCAGGCCGTAATTTATGACATGTTCTAATGAAATTTGATACACAAGCGTGTTTTGACCAAGGGCGAACACTGTTGAAAATGGTTCGGAACGGTCTACTTTTTCGACCAACCTCCATATAACGCCCTCTTCTAAAAATTCGTTATATGGATTTTTCACAATTTATCGGCAAAAGTCACGAAGTATTAGTGTTTCGGCATTCTAAATTGGTGTGCAAACTGTGGATCGGCTGAGGCAACCTTTCGAGCACCCTCTCATTTAACCGTTCCCAAGGCAGTTGCAGTTTTATATAATAAAAAGGTCTAATATCCCATATTTCAGGCGAAAGTTGGCTCATAACAGTAAATTGACAAATTGACAATCTACCTTAACAAATTTGAATCAAATAGGTCTATTTTGGGATACCATCGCTTATAAGGATTCTCATGAAATATAAATCCTTCTTTGGCAAAATAATTTAATCGTTAATTTTTTTGTGATTTGAAAATTTATTTACGATAGTAATTAAATAAATATATTATGGGGATGTACCCCCACATACCACAACTCTCTATTTCTCGTCCCCATATGACATGAGTAGTAAGCCCTTCCAGAAAAAGATTAATTTTTAATATTTTATTATGAAAATTAATTCATAGTAGCGTTTCAACAAAAAAAAAAAAAAAAAAATTAAGCGGTTGTGAATTTGTATCACATAGGTCTATTTTTTTTATAGGCGCTATCACAAAACAGAAACAGAGAAAGTCCGACCTTCCAACATGCGGGCTTGGCATGAAAATAATGTGTAAATTTTGATGTATGGGCACAGCTGCACTAGGCGAAGTATAGGGTTTGCAATAGTCTGCGTCGCCCGACTCTAATGTTTTTACTTATTCTAATTTAAAAAGGTTCTTATAGGACTAATTCTAATAAATAAGGAACCGAAATTTCTTGCTTTTCATATATGAAACGTCGATCTTTAATGCGAACTCTAAACGTTCGCTTACTGCAGAGTTGTGCGATTATTGCGTCCATCGTCTGGTTGGGAATCATTATATATATTTGATTTCATTTAATCTCGAATATTTATATAAAAAATGCTTTGAAAGAATCGTTCTTTAAAATATAGGAAGAGTTTATCACTATATTGGATGCGTTGGAATCGGAGAAAAAATATCTTGTGCAGCATAATAAAACTCTGAATGAACGTATCGACCAAGAACGGCATAAAAACGAGAATTTGCAAGAACTGCTATCCAAGCAAAAAGTTCGTATCGCCCGTTTAGAAGTAAAATTACGTAAGGATGATACTCAAAATTTTCAAAAAAAAAACAAATGAAAATATGACGAGCATTTTGTGCTGATTTTTCTTTCAAAGGTGATGTGGAAAAAGAGCTTGACGTACAACATGAAAGGCGTAAGCGGACACAACGTATCAGCGATTATTCGAATAGTTTGAATAATATTAGTAGTGCCGCTTCGATCAGTTCATTGACTTTTGAAAATACGGCCTTGAGCAGCGCTAAAACGATTTCGAATTTTATTATTAACACAAACGATATAAACGACACAAATGATGATGTATTTGATTTGAAAAATCGGTATGTGTCAATATTTTTAATTTTAATTTTGTAAAATTATGTTTTCGTTAAATATTTCCCATATTTCCTATATTATCCATGGAAGACTTGAATTGGCGAGCGAAAAGATAACGATGCTTAAAGAGAAATTAGATCATGTCACAGCTGAAAAGGAAAATGATGTCAAAATTTTTGAACAGATTATCAACAATTCGAAAACGCATATTTTGGAAAATATATTAGCGCATCGTGCCGCCAATGAAACCAGCATGGAAACAAATACTAATTAAAACCATTTCAATGTATTTTATACAGTGTTGTAAATAATTTTTTTTTATCTCTATGCTTTATTTTGTAAGAACTTCAATTCGATCCAATTGAAGCATCTTGTTCGAAAAATATTCATTCGTTCAGGAATTGCATTTGCATTAACAGCAAAGCAGTAACAAATTTGTGAACAAGTCATTTCACACGAATAAAATAAAATATATTTTTTTTGATATTTTGAAATTCATCTTTGACTTCATTAATTCCGTATTTAACGTCTTATACCTACGTAAACAGACTTTTGAATGGGATGAGGTGTGGTTCGTTGTGAGTTTAAGTTGCGTTGGACCTTTTAATCAAACGTATATATATATATATATATATATATATTATTAATATATATATTACCCCACAATAGGTTAAACTTTAATCCAATAACGGGTTAATCAAAGTGCAGATTAATGTACGTACGTGCATGCAATTCAGCATTTATTGCAGTCGCTTATGTAAGCATATTCTACATAACGGTAATATGACCATACTTTTTTAATAGATATACATATATGTAAGCCCATCTTACTGCAGCTAAGTTTATATTTTTATTTCGGTAAGTTTCAGTTTAGCGTCAACTAAGTGCAGTTCAGTGCAGTTTGAAATGCTTGTGAATGAAAATTGTATAAAATAAATAGGTGAGTTGGACTCCATAACCGGTTCAAGAAATATATATTTTTAAAATGGAATTCCTTCGTTCGTTTAATTTACGTATATATGAGGTAGATGCTCATGAGACTAACAAAGTTTCGGAGGGACGACATACTTATTTGGGAAATATTGATATGATATTTCTTATCTTTCTTCATATGATTTACATGTCAACGGAATTAATAGGAAAAAAAGACGACTGGAGATCGGTTTGCGGTTCTCGTTATTGATCTATCGACACGAAAGGTAAAAACGATTGGATAGCATTTTAGATCAATGGTAATCGATTGCTTCCAACTCGATTAGTTGGGCTTCACGTTTGTTGCATTTATAATGAAATGTTTGTGACACGATCGTTAACGGGGAGTTATCAATCTAAAATGCATATTTGATAGCGAGTTGGTTCGATAACAAAGAGCGAAAGCACAAACCAAACCCAAATTCTTCGTCTGCCGATTTTTCTACTATGTGAACAAAATACAGTTTTTTACTAGAATTCATTTGAATCGAAACGACGGCTCCATCTAGGGGATTATTATTTACTTATTACGCTAAAAGAACCGTTACATCTTTGCACATTTACGAATAGAGAGAAGATTAGTATTGCGCGTAATGAAGCAAGTAACGTGGCCAACGTGAGTCACATGTCATAAAGTGGGTTGTCATGATTAGAACAAAATTTCATGGAAGATGGGTCTTCCGTGGGTCGACCGAATACGACAATTTCGTTTACGTAGGGAAAGATGGAGCCAGAAATATCTGAGAATTCATGTGTTAAGGTATGATAGCTCGGTTATAGTGTTACTTCTTCTTCTTCTTCTTCTAGTCAGGAAACCAACAACCGATAATTCACTGAGTGTTACGCATTCGTGCCGTCAATTTTTACAAAAAAAAAAAAACTGTTCCATAAACTGACAGAGATTAGGTTATGTTTTGCGTTAATTTTAATTCGAAACTTCTGATAATGTAAGTGGAATAAACCCAAAATTTGCCCGAATCGAATTTTGAAAATTTTCAAACATATTTTTTCAGACAAAATTTATTGTTGTTATTTGTTTTGAAAAAACGATAAATATTCGTACAAGTCCATCCGTCACAAATTCAATAAAGCGAGAAGGCGATGCTAAATTGGGCTGGGAGCTTCTCTCACGATTATGGAGTATTTTACGGGTCTATGACTTTTTAATTAACACTGATTCAGATCGATGGGGCCATATTTACCAGAGCGATAGCTCTATAAAAGTAAAAATTTCCGAACATGGTTGTGTAACTGTTTGACCTCGGAACCAAAAAGTTTCTGCCGTTAATGCCTCCGCAAGTTGCCCGATAAAAGATAAAAGATCATAAAATAGTAATGGTACATATTTTGATTATTAGGTTGAACGAAGGAGTTGTGATCGACCCATCGAACGATTCAAAAGCACTTTCTGATCAGATTTAAGCCTATCTGTCCAACTGTCCGCCTTGCGATTCTTAACATGTTTTGTCCCAAGGATAAAGGACGCTATCGAAATGGGCTCGGATCGAATCACTTTTTCGATCATTTCTTTATAATATTTTATTCGTTATATGAATAAATTAGGGTTTTTTCTTATTTGTCAAAAAAAAAAAGGGGGAAAGAAATCATTCAATCCACACAGCTGGCGAAGCATCAAAGTACACTTACCATTGAGTGAATCTGAAATAATCCCTTGAGAAAGTATATAGACAAAGACACAAATATATTTCTAAAACATTTGATTTCATTGTTTATTTTTTATTATAGTTACTGCATTGTATGTATGTAATTAGTTACTTGCGCATATCATTCAATTGAATTTTCCGCATTTTGTGGTTTTCTTTTTTTTTTTAATTTTTAATTCATTAATATTTTATAATTTATTATTATATTAACGGTAAACAACGTACTTTATTTGCATTATTGATTAGCAAGCATTTAACATTTTTATACGCGCCGTGCGGTTAATTTCAATTGACCCTAAACTATTGCATTATTTATTAATAAACATTTTGTAATTTTTCATATTTATCGACAAAGAGATAATTATATTTATTAAATTCAGTCATAGTTAAGGATGCGCGACCGGAGATCTTAGATCGTTACATATATAAACGATAAAAATTAATAAAACATTTTTAATTAAATTTATTAAATTTACAATTCACAAGTTTTCTTCTTTCTTTCCTTTTTTTTTTTTTTTTTTGTTTTTACAATTGGCAATTTGGTAAATCTCTTATTGTTTGAAAAATATATTAAAAAATTCGTTTTTATTACTAATGGGTGTCATTGCCTTTTTTCGTTATTTTTGAAGAGCGATGATATACCTTGTTGAATTCATCAAATTCATTTCATTCTTGGCATTATTCTCATCGGGCGAGTTCTCCCATACACTGGTTTGTTTCGGAAAGTATCAAACAATATTAATATTACTATGTAATAATTTGATCATTAATACGCATTCTGTTCGCATTATTATTGAACCTAACGAGAATGTCTGTAATCTGTTCACTATGGCTAAAAAGACGGAATCACAATCAAAAAAAGAAAAAAAATCTAAAATTCAGCTCACGCCATTTCTCATGGGAGTGTAATTGATTCTCCTTTGCTACTTTTTTTTTTTTTGAGGTTATGTCGTGACATGGAACAACATTTGAACGAGATTTCCAGCAAAACTTTCGTTTGCTTTAAACTAGGATTGCCGGAACGATTTTATTGAAATATATTGAGAAAAATATAAACTAATTTTTTTGAAAATTGTACAAACATTAATTCCTTGTCCTTATTTATCTCACACAAAAGTCACAAATATCGATACATTCTATACATAAATGTATTGATATGAGCCGAATTGATTCATAAGAAAAATTTAATGACCCGGCGCAAAAATAACGTAGTCGGTGAGCAATTGTTCTCAAGTAAAATTAGACGTCCATTTATTTACCAAATAAATTTGGCATCGAATTCATTTGAAGTAATCATGCAAAAGAAATAAAGGTAAAGCCGTCATTATTGAATGTAATAAAAAAGAAGTTCCGGTGGAATATCCATGTTAAACCTGTTTCGAATAGTGTCTTAAAAAAAACATATATATATATATATATATATATATATATAAATAAATGATCTTCCATTTTGAAGTCTGAGTTAAATTGACTCAGGCAGAACATTTCAGGCAGAACAAATATATAGGCAATGCCGGACAATCTAGTGTTAAACGATGTATGCTTCTGAGCTAAGTAAAAGAAAGACCGCCGAACGGACAGTCTGATACCTGATTAATTAAGTTAAGCTTGGAAATAATTGTGCTTGATGCAATAATACACACGCTTAGAAAACTGCAACGATTTGTGAATGGTGGATCGAAAGTTACTTTAAGCAAATGATAAATATTTTAACGGCTGGCTTAAAATGCTCCCATAACTGATGTTAACTATAGTGATAATGTTTTCGTGAATGCGGCCATCACAATGTACTCATACCTTTCCATTACGTGAAACGAATGGCGTAGATTTAGAAAATACATAAGTTGCAAGCACTGATGGCTCAATTCATTGGTATAAAGTAGCGTGTTGAAGCGAACATGTCAATTTTATTATTTAATAAAGAAAGAGAGAGAGAGAGATAGATAGATAGATAGATAGATAGATAGATAGATAGATAGATAGATAGA